TTCCCAAATCTCAGGGCTTGGCCGTGAGCTTCCAATTTTTGTGGCTCATCTGCAGGTGGGAGACAAGGGTGCAAGTTCTCCAGTTTTGGAAGGCTCAGCTGTCCACAAGAGGAAAGGGCTGTAGGAAAATCTCCAGTTTAGCTTTGACAATTGTGCACTTCAGTTGCACAGTGGTGTCATTTAGCAATCTACAATTGTCATGGAATTCTGTTAGTCTGAAATTATCTTTTTGACACAGGATCTCAACTTTTGTGTGTATTGGGAACACTGCTATTCCATAGCATTGCTTTAATTCAGGCTTCACCTGGAATACGTACTGTGTTTATTTCTGGGCACCACAGTTCAAGAAGAATGTCAACAAGTTGGAACGTGTCCAGAAAAGGGTGACCAAGATGAAGAAAAGTCTCAAAACCAAGCCTTGTGAGGAATGATTGAGGAATCTGGGCATGTGTAGCTTGGAGGAGAGAAGACTGAAAGGTGACACAATAGCCACCATTAAATATCTGAAGGGATGTCATGTAGAGTGAGCTTGTTTTCTGCTGCTCCAGAGGCAAGAACATGAATGAATAGATTCAAATTACAAAAAAAGAGATTCCACCTAAACATTAATAAGGCCCTCTTTACTGTAAGACCTGTTCAACAGTGGAATATACTGCCTTGGATGGTAGTGGACTCTTGGAGGCCTTTAAACAAATGTTGAAAGGCCATCTCTTAGGAGTGTTTTAGCAGTGGATTCTTGCATGACAATGGGTTGAACTAGATGGTCCTTGTGGGCCCTTCCAACACTAAAAGATTTCATAATTCTATGTTTCTATAAAGCAGTGGTTCCCAAGTTTTGGTTCTCCAGGTGCTTTAGACGTCAGTTCCCAGAATTCTTGATTGTTGGCCAAGCTGCCTGTGGCTTCTGGGAGCTGAAGTCCAAAACACTTGGATGACCAAAGTTTGGGAACCCCTGCTGTAAAATATCATCTTGGCAGCTTTCATTCTAGGAAGATTAGCTACCAGTGACATGAACGTCAGAGGTATGCATGCTCCTTGTCACTGGGTTTCAGATATATCCTCTCCACAGACACATATCGCATAATCCTTAACATTTGTCAGATCAATGTTGTGGTTCTGCCTTACGTGAGCAAACAGTAGGCCATTAGATGGAAGCTGGCCGAAAAAGACACATATAAGCTGCTCCTGTGAACCCACTGCAGAAAGAAAAGATGATTCAAACATTTTGATTCCAACAATGAATCTTTCAAACTTTCACTTGGTGCAGTTCCTTTGTGGGTGTGTACTGTCACAAAATGCACAAAGGAACAACTCTCAGGTGCTAGCAAGAATATTGCAGGAACCAACAATACCAGAACTTGGGAAAATTCACACTCATTTTTTTTTGTCCCAAAGAGATGTGTATCAGTTTTATTGTTCCCATTTTGTTTTGGGTTTGCAAATCTCTTCGAGTCATTGTCACCCCCGTGTTATACACATAGTGCATCAAGTGCATTTGGGATGTGTGTGAATAACAAGGATTCAACCCAGATTCATCCTGGATTATTTTTGCAGTGCCAATGGGGCCTTAGTTTACTTTTTGATTGCAAGTCCCAGGCCAAGATCCTACATGAACAAGATCCATACAGTTATGGACTCAAGAGGGTCTCCTGTTCCTTACCAGTGGGGAAGGAGGAGAAACAAAAGTGTGCCAACAAATGGCATGCACTCTCCTTTCCCTTCCCCTTAGAGCCCAGACCAGCGGCATCTTCATATTCTGAATTGTCTCTCTGTTCCCTCCCCTTCCCACCAGTAAGAAGCAACAGTCCATCCCAGCTACTGGGGAAGAGATTTGGGGATGGGATGCAAGGGCAAGAAAATCACAAGGGACAGCCATGTTTATGTACATGCACTTTACTAACAAGATACTTGCTCCACTTGGCCAAATTGGCTGAGGAAATCGGGGAGCGGACTCCAAAAAGGAAACTCTTCCAAGGTCCAAAATACCACTCCTACATAATGCATGAGGGCCGGAACCCTGGATCCGTAGATGTGGAAGCCAGGAAATGGAGGCGTCAACGTGGCCTCGCTCAGAGCAAAACGGCAACTGCGGGCCATTTTTAATTTTTCTTATTTGCCCATCAGGTGCTCAGAGCCCTAATAAGATGATCCTCATCTATATTTATGCCCTTCGCCCCCTTCTCCTCATCAGGTCCCGATCTGCAGAGCCGAACTTCAGTCGGTGATTTATGAAAGCTATAATAGAATGTCAGAATTTGGGAGTGAACTATTAGCCATGGCAATTAACTTCTCAGTGGAGGTTTTCCAAATGGCCAGCTCTTCGTCACAGAGAAGTCTGAGTCCCCTGTTAACTCTCTCCTCTTCTCTGCCCAGTCCCTGGAAGAAGAACTTTTAGATGGATCCTTAATGAAGAAAGGAGACGCGGCTCATGCGACCTCTGGCATGATGCAATTTAGGAGGAAAACACCTGCGCCAGACATCTTGCGCAAGCAGACAGAAAGCATGTGCTGGGAATTGTAAACAGCAAAAGAGGCACTTTTCAGGTGCTGCTTGACTTGCAGGTCTCTGTTTAACTCAGGCTTCTTGCAGGAGACTGTGTGGAGGGGTCTCACTCCTGCATGTAAAATAGTCCAGCTTCTGTTGCTGTGTGTCTTCACATTGTTTCCAACTTATGGTGACCCTAAGGCAAACTTTCATGGGGTTTTATTGGTGAGATTTATTCAGAGGAGGTTTGTCATCGCTTTCCCAAGAGGCTGAGAGTATGTGACTTGCCCAAGGCCACCCAGTAGGTTTCATGGCCAAGCTGGGAACCTAATCCTGGTCTAGATATCTCTGATTTTAAAAAAAATTCTTGAAAGAGCATCGCAACCTCATAGAATCCCTTATTTGCAAGGAACGCAACAGCCTTTTGGGCAGTGTCTGCAACACCAAAATCCTAAGTTGGGGGCTCATAGTGTAAATTTCTACAGACACACTGATTGTGCCACACAAGCCTTAGGATGAATGGCCACATTGCATGAGTGAAGGGACCACCAAATAGGGATCCAAATGCACAGCAAATGGGTGTCCATACATGCAACAAGACTGGGCATGCGGCTCTTCTTCTGCAGACTTGAACTAGATATTTGGCACCAGACCCACCCCCCCAAAAGTATGCAATGGACTCTGGGAAACTAGGGTGTGAATTTCTGAGACTTAAAAGATGGCAATGCCAAACCTCCACTCAATAAAACCTGGTGAACCAGTATGGTATAGTGGTTGGAGTGTTGGACCGAGACTCTGGGAGACCAGGGTTCAAATTTCCACTCAGTTGTCATTAACCTTGGGCAAGGTGCACTTGGTGAGCCTAAGTGTGCATCTGCACTGTAGAAATAATGCATTTTGACACCATTTTAACTGCCCTGGGCTCCAGCCTACAGAATCCTGGGATTTGTAGTTTGGTGAGGCACCAGCACCCTTGGCCAGAGAAGGCTAAAGACCTTGTGAAACTACTAATCCCAGATTTCCATAGGATGGGACTACAGCACTTCAAGTATTGTCAAACTGCATTATTTCTACAGTGTAGATGCACCCTAAGAGGAGAGCAACAGCAAACCTCCTCTGGATAAATCTCACCAAGAAAACGCTAGGATAGAGGTGTTGTAAGTCAGAATTAGCACAAAACCCAATAACAACAAAGGGTACCAGTGGCTATTAGCTATGTTGGCTTTATTTCTTCATTTGCACAGGCAGCTGGGGACTTTCATGGCGGCGTGATCAATCTGTTTGGATCATATCCAAGGGGATGAACTTATTTTGGTTATCCATTGTTTGGAATAAAACCCATTACACATTCACCGTCCTACAGATATGGAAGCCAGCAGCAGTCACTGGAACACTTCCTCTTGCACTACAGTTCCCACAATCCCTATATGGAGTTATGGGAGCTGTATTCCAAAAGTAAAATTGTCAAGCTATGGTTCAAACTAAGGTAAAGGTGGGCAGGGGATGATGAACTTATGGTACAAAGTGAGCTATCAATAGCATGCTACCAGTCTCCCATCTCAGACTTGGAAGCAGCACTTGGTTCCATTCACAGAAGAATATAAATTAGGATACAGTCGAATTCCCCTCCCAGTCTTCATCAGCCTGTCAGCTCTTCTTTTCTCTACAGCCTATTTTCATCCCTTTCTCATTCACAAATGAGTTCAGGTCAGATAAATATTTAATCTTCCCATTTTTTGAATTTAAAATATCAGTGCTACATTTTTTGAGTCACAACGGAGTAAAAAAAAAGAAAAAAGAAAGGGAAGGAAGGAAGGAAGGAAGGAAGGAAGGAAAGAAGGAGAGAAATGAAAACTAAAGTTTAAAGTACATTACATGGTTTCTGCCTGTTTTACTAGTTTAGTCAGTTCTATGTTCTGAGGAGCAATCTGAACCCAAACTCAAGAAGATGCTAAAACTTGCATGGACTTGGGATTTTTTCAGACATTTTTTCACTTTGGTTCAGACTGTTATAATAATAGGTACAATTAAACTTCTAGCATTACCCCTGGCTGCTGCTTTTTTTGGAGGTACAGGATGCTTACAGCAGAGCTTGGGAAAGTTACTTTTTTGGATTATGGCTTACTGAATTGCTCTATGCTGGCTGTGGTGGCTCTGGAAACTGCAATCCAAAAAAAAAAAAAGTAACTTTCCAAAGCTCTGATTTAGGTATAAAGCCCTCCACATCCTCCCACAAGTGACAAATGATATTTAGTCTGAAATGCATGCACTAGGCAAAGTTTTTTGTTAAAGAAATAATTGTTTTGTTAAAGAAATAATTGTTCATCCTCGTATGGAGTGATTTAAGAAGGAATTTATTGTTATTGTGTGCCTTCAAACCATTTCTGACTTATGGTGACCCTAAGGCAAACCTATTATGGAGTTTCCTTGGCAAGTTTCTTCAGAGTGGGTTTGCCATTGCCATCCTCTGAGGCTGAGAGAATGTGACTTGTCCAAGGTCACCCAGTGGGTTTACAGGGCTGAGCCAGGATTCGAACCTTGGTTTCCAGAGCCATAGTCCAACACTTAAACCACTATACCACGTTGGCAATATAACACATGTATTCATTGCCTGGATGCAATTTCAGTGGACCTCACAATCTTCCAGTGACTTCAGTGAAACTGAATAAATGCAAAGCCATTCTTAAATCACAGGGGCATACACCTTAAACCACAAGCCCACCATGAGATTTCCATAGTCTTCTCAACAATATAGGCTGGGATCAACTGTTTCTGACTCTTTAGTGAGGCTGCCATTCTGCCCTGTGTGCCGAATATATCTATGCATGTTATTTACACATTGCAACTTAAACTAACATCTGGAGCGGGAGATGCATCTCTGGCCATCTGTCACCTCTAATGGAAGGTTATCAAGGGCATCAGGAAAAAGACTGATTAAAACAAGGCAGCCAAAAAATAATAATGCAGCGGAAATGTCTTGGGTGCAGGAAACCAAGGCGAGTCAATTAACATCTGCAGTCTAAGCTCCTTCTTTTTCATCCACATTCCCCTCCATGTCTGTTTATTGAACCAAATATCAGATGCTAACTTGCATGGGAAGGATAATGTAGCAACCTTTCTACACTTCTATGAATTCCCTGCTTGATTTCCTTTGGATCAGCCATTGTTTGGCTCAACATCTTTTGCTGCATCTTGTTGAAGCTCCTACACAGCAGGGCTGGCCCACTAAACTGAGTATTACTGCAGAAATATCTACCTACCAACTTACCTTCCTACCTATTGTTGCCTTGTGGCCCTCATGTCAGTGGGGTAATGAATTAGGCTGCTGCCACACTGCAGAATTAATGCAGTTTGACACCACTTTAGCTGTCATGGCTCCATCTTATGGAATCCTGGGATTTGTACTTTGTCATGGCACCAGAGCTAGCTAAGTATCTCACAAAACGACAAATCTCAGCATTCCATAAAATGGAGACATGGCCATTAAAGTGGTGTCAAACTGCATTAATTCTGCAGTATAGACGCAGCCTTAGTTTGAATTTTAAAGGAGCTGCCCAAGAAGGATTGCTAAGGAACACCAGGTACTGTAGGCCGTATTTCAGAGGAAGGAGCCCACAAAACTGCCTCTACATATTCCTTGCTTCAGAAAACTCTATGAAATTCATAGGGTTGCCATAGTTCGACAGGTGACTTGAAGGCACAGATGCACAGAAACACATCCAAGGCTCCAAATCCTATTCCCCAAATGGTTTCAGCACTTTGGACAGGTCCTAAAGCCCTTCAATAGTAGGCTGCCTTATTACATTTGCGAAAGTACAGTATCATTCAAAATCCTCAAAACAGTGACATCTTTATTGGGCCAACCAAAATGCACATTATACATGTTGCATTATACATTTGGGAAAGGTTACTTCACAGAAGTGGCATCCCTGTCTCTCTTACAGCAAATGGTGAACCTGATCCAGATTATTGTCTAAACATCTAAGGAGCCATCCAAACAGCTAAAGGAGGTATCCCCCAAATAGACTCAGCACCTTGGATGGCTCCTTTACAGTTCAGATGAAAACCAAGAATGGATTCATTACCCCATATCTATCTATCTATCTATCTATCTATCTATCTATCTATCTATCTCGTACCTAAAGGAGGATATCTGTATGTTTATATATTTATATGGCTAAGCAATTGAAGATTTTCTGTCTGTCTGTCTCTCTCATCTGAGAATGTCTATCTGTTTGGCTTTCTATCTGCTTTTCTATGAACCTAAGCAATTGAAGATGTCTGCCTCTCTGTCTATCTATCTATCTGTCTATCTATCTATCTATCTGTCTGTCTGTCTGTTTGTCTGCAAAGGGATCTTGTAGCACCTTTGAGATTAACTGTGTGAAAGAAGTTGTAGCAGCAGATTTTGTAGACTTGCATCTGACAAAGTAGACCAAGTGTATGAAAGCTCATGCTACAACTTCTTCTGCACAGTTAGTCTCAAGGATGCTACAAGGTCCCTTTGCATGCTGATATTGCAGACTAACATGACTATATCTCTGGTATCTATGTGTCTATCCATCTATCTGTCTTTGGGTAAAATGAGCCTAAGCAACTGAGTCTGTATATCTATCTTTTCTATCTACCTACCTATCTATGGATGAAATAAGCCTAAAGCAATTGAAGATGTGATCTGATCTATCATCTATCTATCTATCTATCTATCATCCATGTGATTTACATGTCTGTCTGTCTGCCTAGTTGGCTAAGGAGCTGAGGACATCCAGGGTCAAGTCTAAGCTTAGAGGGAGATCTTTTGCTGAATCCAGGAGTCGCACAACATTATCCTCAAGTAAGCCTGTCATGAAACCTCCTTCTGCTGCAAACAAAACCCTTATTCTAATAATACAGCAACCACCAGGGTCCAAGTTCAATTGTGTGGAAGCTAGCAGGATTATAGTCGGTTTCACCAGACTTTGGGGACTTCCTTCCTTCCTTCGTTCCTT